TGGGATGTTTCGTGAGGTGTTGCCCCGGTGGGTATCGTGAAAACGTGCCCATGCTCCACATGTCTATATCCCTTTCCGGGTTCGTGGGTCCATCATGTTCCCGGAAAGGGCTCAGGCCCAGGGTTCTCTTTTAGTAGTAGTAGGTAAACCTGTCCCCCGGTGCCAACTTGAGGGAGGCCGGCGAATTTTTTCCCTGATAAATAACGAGGTCGAAGGAGGCCGGCGAATTAAAATTTGAGGATGTCTCGAGCGAAACGCTTGTTTTTGAAATCCCGATCGATAAATCACAGGGTGCGGGACACTTTTTCGTGCGTTGAGGATGTCTCGAGCGAAACGCTTGCTCCGCAGAGTTTGCCGAGGATGTCTCGAGCGAAACGCTTGTTTTGCAGAGCCGACCGCGACGCGGAAAAGCGCCCCGCGCGCAGGAATTTCGATGATGTCTCGACTAATTCGTTTGTTTTGTACGATTTCTTGGAATTTTGGCAGGATGTCTCGAGCGAAATGCACGACCCCACCCTAGCACGACCATACCCCAGCACGACCACACCCCAGCACGACCAGACCCCAGCACGACCCCACCCCAGCACGACCACGCCCCAGCACGACCAGACCCCAGCACGACCACACCCCAGCACGACCCGACCCCAGCACGACCCTACCCCAGCAAGACCACACCCCAGCACGACCACACCCAAGCACGACCCTACCCAAGCACGACCACACCCCAGCACGACCACGCCCCAGCACGACCACGCCCCAGCACGACCACGCCCCAGCACGACCCAACCCCAGCAAGACCACACCCCAGCACGACCACACCCCAGCACGACCTCACCACAGCACGACCACACCCCAGCACGACCACGCCCCAGCACGACCACGCCCCAGCACGACCACGCCCCAGCACGACCACACCCCAGCACGACCACACCCCAGCACGACCACACCCCAGCACGACCCCACCCCAGCACGACCCCACCCTAGCAAGACCCCACCCCAGCACGACCACACCCCAGCACGACCTCACCACAGCACGACCACACCCCAGCACGACCACGCCCCAGCACGACCACGCCCCAGCACGACCACGCCCCAGCACAACCACGCCCCAGCACGACCACCCCCCCAGCACGACCACACCCCAGCACGACCACCCCCCAGCACGACCACACCCCAGCACGACCACTCCCCAGCACGACCACACCGCCTTGGTTGAGTGGTTGACTGTCGTCGTGGAATGTTTCGTGGGGTGTCTCGTGGAATGTTTCGCGGGGTGTCTCCTGGAATGTTTCGTGAGGTGTCTCGCGGAATGTTTCGTGAGGTGTATCGTGGGATGTTTCGTGAGGTGTCTCGTGGGATGTTTCGTGAGGTGTTGCCCCGTTGGGTATCGTGAAAACGTGCCCATGCTCCACATGTCTATATCCCTTTCCGGGTTCGTGGGTCCATCATGTTAACGACTTCGGTATGCGCGCGCGTGTGCGCGCGCGTATGGCTCGCATGGTCGTCTTTCGCAGGGATGCCAGGACAACTATATTTCTCGTGATGTTAGTAAGTGCGCGTGTGCAGAACATCTGACATTCATGAGTATCACTGTATTTTTGTGGTTTCCATGTGTTTCTGAAGAACTATACATATCGAATTCCCTAGGGCACCAGTGAGTTGTAATCATTTCGATGCGCGAGATCGGGGGCGCGCGAGCTCATGTAGCCCGTGGTTTGTTGTTGTTGTTGTTGTCGTCGTCGTCGTCGTCGTCGTCGTCGTCGTCGTTGTTTTTGTCGTCGTGATTCTTGATGTTGATGTTTTGTTGTTGTTGTTGTTGTTGTTGTTGTTGTTGTTGTTGTTGTTGTTTTTGTTTTTGTTGTATTTGTAGCAGCAGCAGCAGCAGCAGCAGCAGCAGCAGCAGTAGTAGTAGTAGTAGTAGTAGTAGTAGTAGTAGTAGTAGTAGTAGTAGTAGTAGTCGTAGTAGTCGTAGTAGTCGTAGTAGTCGTAGCGTTGCTGTAGTGGCCGTAATAGTAGTAGCTGTTGTTATGTTGGTGTTGTTGCTGTTGCTGATGTTGATGGTGTTGTGGTTTGTTGTTCTTCTTGTTATTGTTGAGGTGGTTGTGGTTGTTGTTGTGGTGGTGATGGTTGTTGTTGTGGTTGCTGTTGTTGTGGTTGTTGTTGTTGATGTTGATGTTGTTGTTGATGTTGTTGTGGTTGTTTTTCCCGGAAAGGGCTCGAGCCCAGGGTTCTCTTTTAGTTGGTAAACCTAATCCCCCGGTGCCAACTTGAAGGAGGCCGGCGGATTTTTTCCCTGATAAATATCGAGGTCGAAGGAGGCGGGGATTAAAATTTTGAGGATGTCCGATGCGAAACGCTTGGTTTGAAATCCCGATCGATAAATCACAAGGGTGCGGGCCACTTTGTGCGGGCCACTTGTTCGTGTGTTGAGGATGTCTCGAGCGAAACGCTGCCTCCGCAGAGTTTGACGAGGATGTCTCGACGACACGCTTGTTTTGCAAGAGCCGACCGCGACGCGGAAAAGACGCCCCGCGCGAAGGAATTCGATGATGTCTCGACTAATTTCCTTGTTTTGTCAGGATTCTGGAATTTTGGCCAGGATGTCTCGAGCGAAATGCTACGACCCCACCCTAGCACGACCATTACCCAGCACGACCACACCCCAGCACGACAGACCCCAGCACGACCCACACCCCAGCACGACCCCACCCCAGCAACGACCTACCCAGCACGACACACCCCAGCCACGACCCGACCCCATGCACGACCCTACCCCAGCAAGGACCACACCCCAGCACGACCACACCCCAGCACGACCACGCCCCAGCACGACCACGCCCCAGCACGACCACGCCCCAGCACGACCACCCCCCAGCACGACCACCCCCCCAGCACGACCACCCCCGAGCACGACCACCCCCCAGCACGACCACCCCCCAGCACGACCACTCCCCAGCACGACCACACCCCAGCACGACCACACCCCAGCACGACCACACCCCAGCACGACCACACCCCAGCAAGACCACACCCCAGCACGACCCGATCGATAAATCACAGGGTGCGGAGCACCCCAGCACGAACCCACCCCAGCACGACCCCACCCCAGCACGACCCCACCCCAGCACGACCACGCCCCAGCATGACCACACCCCAGCACGACCACACCCCAGCACGACCACTCCCCAGCACGACCCCACCCCAGCACGACCCCACCCTAGCACGACCACACCCCAGCACGACCACACCCCAGCACGACCCCACCCCAGCACGATCACACCCCAGCACGACCCCACCCCAGCAAGACCACTCCCCAGCACGACCGCACCCCAGCACGACCTTACCACAGCACGACCACACCCCAGCACGACCACGCCCCAGCACGACCACGCCCCAGCACGACCACGCCCCAGCACGACCACGCCCCAGCACGACCACGCCCCAGCACGACCACCCCCCAGCACGACCACCCCCCCAGCACGACCACCCCCCCGCACGACCACCCCCCAGCACGACCACACCCCAGCACGACCACTCCCCAGCACGACCACACCGCCTTGGTTGAGTGGTTGCCTGTCGTCGTGGAATGTTTCGTGGGGTGTCTCGTGGAAGGTTTCGCGGGGTGTCTCGTGAAATGTTTCGTGAGGTGTCTCGTGGAATGTTCGTGAGGTGTCTCGTGGGCTGTTTCGTGAGGTGTCTCGTGGGATGTTTCGTGAGGTGTTGCCCAGTTGGGTATCATGAAAACGTGTCCATGCTCCACATGTCTATATCCCTTTCCGGGTTCGTGGGTCCATCATGTTGTTGTTGTGGTGGTTGTTGTTGTTGCTGTTGTTGTGGTTGTTGTTGCTGCTGTTGTTGCCGTGGTTGTGGTTGTGGTTGTGGTTGTGGTTGTTGTGGTTGTGGTTGTGGTTGTGGTTGTGGTTGTTGTTGTTGTTGTTGTTGTTGTTGTTGTTGTTGTTGTTGTTGTTGTTGTTGTTGTTGTTGTTAGTTTGTTGTTTATTTTGTGTGTGTTGCTGTCGTGTTTATTTGGGGGGGAGGGGGGGGGTAGGGGTGTGGGGGGGGGGGTGTGCGGCGAGGGGATGGGGTGTTCTTATAGCACGCGGTTGTTAGATCAACGCGTGTGCATCGCAAAGCATTGCCCGACAGTGATGACAGGGGGAGTCGATACCAGCCTGGCTCGGACGGTGTTGGTCCATATGTACGGTGAGCGATCGCACGTAACATGTGTGGGAGGATGGGGTGCCATTAATGCTGGCCTCGGCATGGGAGCAGACGCAAGCATTCCGTAGGAGGAGAGCGCGATGTGCATCCAGAAACGCCAGCTGGGGCACTGGGGCCCGCTCTGCGCCCCCGGGTCTGTTCTCGAGGGCCCCCGGGGCCACGAGGGAGCGGGCCCGGCGGAGGCCAGCCTGCGGGAGGACCGCGCAGGCTGAAGCAGCCATCGCGTCGGAGACCTAGAGCTGGCAACTGGCACCCACACCTGTGCGAGCCCTGCGTCTCTAGGGGTGGGATTCCGTGGGGGCCATGTGCCGTCGGATGGGGCCCCCCGCCCGGACGGGAGGTCCGACCACCCCCACCCATACCTGTAGCGTCTTCGCCTCCCTCCCTGTCAGGTTTGGGCGCGTGCTGTTCTCTCATCACTCTATCGCGCGTCGCCCACCCCCCAGGGGCGACGCGCGCACCGAGAAATCTTAGGATGCATGCGTCGTGGCGGGCGCTTTCTGGCCACACCGCTCGGGAAACGGTCTACGCCTTGATCGTTCTGCTATGTGTTCGGCTCGGACGCACGCCTCCAAGGAGGACGTATTGTATTACAGGGGAAAGAAGAATGACATAAGCATAAAAGCTCGAAGGTCCGCGCCGCAGGCGCTGCCAGGGGGGTCCAGCGCCGACCCGAGTAATCCGCGCGGACCTCCGAGTTTTTGTGCTTGTGTCAGTGTTCGTTCCCCTATATGTGTTCGGGTCGCACGCACGCCTCCAAGGAGCACGCACGGTACTAGTGCGTCCCTGCGCGTCCCACTCTGGCTGCACCGCAGGAGCGCGGCTCGGCCTGGCGCCCCGCTGGCGTCCGGCGTCTGGGCGGCCGCCTCGGAGGCCCCGCCGCGCGCGGCGGGCGTGGCGCAGCAGGCGCGCAGCGCGCGCGCGCGAGCGGCCTTGGCCGCCGCCGCCGTGGCCCTTGGAGGCCCCCTTGGGAGGCCCCTCGGGGGCTCCTCGGGGGCCCTCGGGCGCCTCCCCAGATATATCCCACAAGGGATTTTTGGTTGCCCCCCCGTACCCCCCCTCCTTTTCCTTCGGCGGTGAATAGGACTGGTCCTAAAACCTCCTCCTCCTCCTCCTTCTCCTCCTCCTCCTCCCTCCTCCTTTCTCTCCTCCTCCTCCTCCTCTCCTCCTTCTCCTTCCCTCTCCTTCTCTTTCCTTCTCCTTCTCTCTCTTCTCTTCTCCTCCTTCTCCTTCCCTCTCCTTTCTTCTCTTCTCCTTCGCCTCTCCTTCTCCTTCTCCCTCTCCTTCTCCTCCTCCCCCCCCCCCTCTCTCTCCCTCCTCTCTCCTCCTCACTTTTTGGTTTCTCTTTAATTTTTAGGAAGTTAATATTCGCCTCCTCCTACTACTCCTCCTCCTCCTCCTCCTCACCCTGCTCCTCTCCTCTCTCCCCCTCCTCCTCCTCCTCCTCCTCCTCCTCCTCCTCCTCCTCCTCCTCCTTCCGAGGATCGAGTTTCTGAGCTAGGAGTTTCCGTCGTTCCAATCCGGGTGGTTATCCCTGATTTCGGTTTCTTTGGGGCCAGTTGTCCTGCCCTGGGGCAATCAAAAATAGCAGTCGGGGCCCGTGGGGCCGCGGATTAAAAGAAGTCGCACCAGCAGATGTCAGGCTCTGGGCAACGGGGGCGGCTGCGGAACGCAACGTCGCCGTCGCCGTCGCCGTCGCCGTCGCCGTCGTCGTCGTCGTCGTCGTCGCCGTCGTCGTCGCCGTCGCCGTCGCCGTCGCCGTCGCCGTCGCCGTCGTCGTCGTCGTCGTCGTCGTCGTCGTCGTCGTCGTCGTCGTCGTGTCGTCGGTCGCGTCGTCGTCGTCGTCGTCGGCGTCGCCGCCGGCGCGGCCGCGCCGTCGCCGTCGCCGTCGCCGTCGCCGTCGCCGTCGCCGTCGCCGTCGCCGTCGCCGTCGCCGTCGCCGTCGCCGTCGCCGTCGCCGTCGCCGTCGCCGTCGCCGTCGCCGTCGCCGTCGCCGTCGCCGTCGTCGTCGTCGTCGTCGTCGCCGTCGTCGAGCGCCGGCGGCGTCGAGCGGCGGAGGCCGTGAAGCTCACCTACTTCGGGCTGTGGGCGAAGGGCCCGTCGGTGGCCCTGGCGCTCGAGCACAGCGGCCTGGACTGGGAGGGCGCGTTCCCCGACGACTGGAGCGGGATGAAGGACGCCCATCGAGGCGTCTGAGGATCGAGGTGCCCTGAGTCGAAGAAGAGATGGCGCCATAGACGTAAACTTTTGGCGCTCCGCGCGGACTTCTTGGATCCGCGCTGGGGCCTAATGGGGGGTCCAGGCCAGATCCAAGAAATCCGCGTGGAGCGCCAAAAGTTTATGTCTATGGCGGTTCTTCTTCTTCTTCTTATTCTTCTTCTTCGCGTTGTACAGTGGGGCCGCGCATCAAGAGGCCATCTGCTTTTCTCCAGGGTGCCCTGGGTTTCTTCGCTCGCGCGCTGCGCGGCGCCTCCCTGCAGCCGTGGAAGAGGCTGCTGCGTTCAGGGCGCTCCAGGCCTCCCCTCAGGTGCACCCCGCGCGTGGGTCTCCAGGGTCGGTTTCCTTGCGAGGGTCTCCGGCGAGGCTTTTTTCAGGGCTGGGCTCCTCGCGAGGGCTTCCTGCGAGGGTTTCCTGCGAGGGCTTCTCTTGCGAGGCTTCCCCTCGGGGCTGGGTCTCTTGCGAGGGTCTCTTGCGGGGGTCTCTCCGGGCCGGGCTCCCCGCGGCCGCGCCCGCGCCGCACCTTCTCTTCTCCACGCCGGCTCGCTTCTGTGCCCGGCGTCAGGCCCCATGGGCCAGCGCACCTCGACCCGGCTCGGAGAGGAGGAGGAGGAGGAGGAGGAGGAGGAGGAGGAGGAGGAGGAGGAGGAGGAGGAGGAGGAGGAGGAGGAGGAGGGAGGAGGAGGAGGAGGAGGAGGAGGAGGAGGAGGAGAGAGGAGGAGGAGGGCGGTCGAGGAGAGGAGGAGGAGGAGGAGAGAGGAGGAGGAGGAGGATGAGGAGGGAGGAGGAGGAGGAGGATGGAGGAGGAGGAGGAGGAGGAGGAGGAGGAGGAGGAGGAGAGGAGGAGGAGGAGGAGGATGGATGGAGGAGGGAGGAGGAGGGGAGGAGGAGGAGGAGGAGGAGAGAGGAGGAGGAGGAAGAGGGGAGGAGGAGGAGGAGGAGGAGGAGGAGAGGAGGAGGAGGATGAGGAGGAGTGAAGGAGGAGGAGGAGGAGGAGGGGAGGAGGGGAGGCGAGGAGGAGGAGGAGGAGGATTGCGGTGCGGGGCGCTGGCCGCGGTCTGCCCGTGGTGCTGCTGCTAGGGGGGCCACGCGCGCACCTTAAGCCCCATGCCCCCCAGGGGGCTGAAGGCGGCGGAGAGCCTCGCGTCGTGCTCTCTGCCACGGCGCGAGGGTGCCCGGCTCGGCGGCCCGACGGGGGAGGGCGGGAGACGAGGGCTTCTGCGCTCTGCTCCTGATCCGCCACTGCGAAACAGCTAGGGGGCCGCATGCGAACCCTGCCCCTGCCCCCCACGATTTCTGGGGGGGAGGGGTGGGGTTCACCTCGCTCGGGAGCTCCCGAGCGAAGTGACCCCCCCCCCTCCCCCTCATTTGGTTCTCGCCTTAGCGCCGCTCACATTCATTTTGAACATTTGCAAGAGTTTCACGGATTGAGCGCGGTTCTTTTTCAAACTGTGGCTTTCGCCTTAGCTCCGCGCACATTCGTTTCAAACAGTTGCAAGAATTTCACGGATTGAGGGCGGGTGGTTTTCAAAATGTGGCTGTCTCCTTAGCGCCGCGCACATTCATGAAACATTTGCAAGAGCTTCACGGATTGAGGGCGGGTTGTTTTCAAAATGTGGCTCTCGCCATGGCGCCGCGCGCGTTCGTTTTCACAATTTGCAAGAGTTTCACGGAATCCCATGATCAGCGTCGCAGAAATGGTGTCTTGGAAGGATTCAGGATTTTGCGGGTGCAACAGTTACGTTGATTCTCTGTGCTGAAGTCCCAACTATGGCGCTCTGGCACAATTCCGGATCGTCAAGACGCAGCAGTCCGGTAGATTCGTGGCATTGAAATCCCGAGAACAATGGTTTGGCATGCTTCAGGATCTCCAAACGGTTGTCTTCCAACGGGCAGCTCCCTCAATGGAAATGAACCGTCAATGGGGGCCTATGAAGAGGGAGCTTGGAGGGAGGGTTAATTCCAACCTCGTTGATGACTCTTGGTCTTACACTGGTCCTCCTCCTCCTTCTCCTCCTCCTCCTCCTCCCTCCTCCCTCCTCCTCCTCCTGCTCCTCCTCCTCTTCCGGCACGAACGAAATGGGTACGGAAAGAATGGGCACAACACCCAACAGCAGTTCCTGTTCATTTTGAACAAGACTCGCTGTCCGCGCCGCCGCGGCCTGTGTCCATTCGAGACAAACGGCCGCCTGCCGAACAGCGGCCGCTGTTGGGTTGGGACAACATGTGTTGTTTGGCATTGTGCCCATCCTTTTCGTGCCCATTTCGGGCGTCCAAGCTCTTCCTTTCCGTGCCCATTTCGGGTGTCCTGGGGCCTGCTGGGGGCCTCTTGGAGGCCTGAGGCCCCCAAGAGGCCTACCTTGCAGGGTGCGGATAGTTCTGCTCCAGCCTCTTGGGGGCTTCATGGGGGCTGCTTGGGGGCTTCTCGAGGGCCTGCTGGCGGTGTCGGGGGTCATCTTGGGGTAGAGGGTTCGACATGTCAGTTCGAGCTCCCCCTCTTGGGTTCATTTTGGGGCCATCTTGGGGCCTCGTAGGCCGCCTTGAGGCCCTCTTGGGCCGTCTTGCGAGCCTCTTGGGGGCATCTGGGGCCGTGTTGGGGCGATCTAGGGGGCTTCTGGGGCTGTCTTGGAGGGTCCGAAGCCCGAACAGGTGAGAACGCTGAACTCTTTCAAACATCTAAAGACAATCGATGATTTTGGCCTTTTGGAGCCCTCTAGGAAGTCCTCTTGGAGCCTTCTTGGGGCGTTTTGGGGGCCTCTTGGGCGTTCATGAGGCCATCTTGGGCGTTTTGGAGAGCTCTTGGGCCGTCTCAGGATTTCTGTTGACCATGTTGGAGACTTCTTGGAGCCCTCTTGACATGTTTCGGGACGCTCTTGCCTCCGGAGAAAAAGCATGTGGGAACACGCGGGCAGCCCCGAGAGCGCCCTGAGCTTGGGGCTGTGGAGCCATTGCAAAGCTTTTCAGTTTTCGAAATAGAGACATCGACGGATCCTAATGGCACTTCACTCACGGTGGCATATACAGTTTTACACATTCTGCGCATCCGCATATGTATACATCCACACACATATATATGTATATAGGTATGGTTACATACATATGTATGTATACATAGACACACACATACACATATATATAGATACATATATATATATATATATATATATATATATATCTATATATATCCATATATCCGTAAGGGCTTCGCCCCATGCCGCCGGCCCCCTGAAAGCTAAAGCATGAGGTCTGGGCGCCGCCGTGAAGCAGTGTCGGGACCTATTTGTTTTTCGACCCTGACCTTACGGATCTGCGTCACGGGTGCCACCGAATTTCAGAAATGTGGCAAATCCTTTGTGTTTTTGGACCCTGACCCTACGGATCTGCGTGAGGGGTGCCGCCGAATTTCAGAAATGTGGCAAATCCCTAGTGTTTTTGGACCCTGACCCTGTCGATCTGCGTGAGGGGTGCCGCCGAATTTAAGAAATGTGGCAAATCCGCAGTGTTTTTGGACCCTGACCCTGCCGATCTGCGTGAGGGGTGCGACCGATTTCAGAAATGTGGCAAATCCCATGTGTTTTTGGACCCTGACCCCGCCGATCTGCGTGAGGGGTGCCATAGAATTTTAGAAATGTGGCAAATCCGTTGTGTTTTTGCACCCTGATCCCGCCGATCTGCGTGAGGGGTGCCAGCAAATTTTAGGAATGTAGCACATCCCTTGTGTTTTTGGACCCTGACCCCGCCGATCTGCGTGAGGGGTGCCATCGAATTTCAGAAATGTTGCAAATCATTTGTGTTATTGCACCCTGACTCCGCCGATCTGCGTGAGGGGTGCCAGCAAATTTTAGAAATTAGCAAATCCGTTGTGTTTTTGCACCCTGACCCCGCCGATCTGTGTGAGGGGTGTCACCGAAATTTAAAACTGTGGCAAATCCTTTGTGTTTTTGCGCCCAGACCCTGCCGATCTGCATGAGAGGTGCCACCGGATTTTAGAAATGTGGCAAATCCTTTTGTGTTTTTGCGCCCAGACCCCGCCGATCTGCGTGAGGGGTGCCATCGAATTTCAGACATGTGGCAAATCCTTTGCGTTTTTGCACCCTGACCCCGCCGATCTGGTCATTTTTACCCACCCCAGCAATGCAGAGCATACGTGGTAAAAATGGCCGTTTTGGGCCTCTCCCTCTCGCGCGGTCCATCAACAAGGAACAGGAAGCAGCAATAAGCAGAACTGTAACAGGGAACAGAAAGTAGCAAGAAGCAGAACTGTACCAGTGGAAACTGGAAGCTGCAACTGGTACAGGAAACTGCGAACCTTAGGCCTACAGCCTGGTGGCCCCACAAGGGGGCCGGCGGATTTTAATATATATATATATATGTATGTATGTATGTATGTATGTATGTATGTATGTATGTATGTATGTATGTATGTATGTATGTATGTATGTATGTATGTATGTCTATATAAATATAGCGAGAGAGAGAGATCGAAAGAGAGAGAGAGGGAGAGACAAAGAGAGAGAGAGAGAGAGAGAGAGAGAGGAAGAGAGAGAAAGAGAGAGAGAGAGAGAGAGCGAGAGAGAGAGAGATAAAGCGGGAGAGAGTGGGAGAGAGAGCGGGAGCAAGCGAGCGAGCGAGCGAGCGAGCGAGAAAGAGAGAGAGAGAGAAAGAGATAATACGATGGAGAGTTACATGGACAGCACGAGAGCGATGCACAGAGTGAGAGAACGAGAGAGCGAGAGAGAGAGAGAGAGAGACAGAACAAGAGAGAGAGAGAGAGACAACATAACAGAACACAGCATCTACGTATGGAGAACAGCGCACGCACCCGTGTCCTTTCCGGGCAGACCCAGCCGTGGCGGCCACGGCCGCCCCGGGGGCCTCCCAGTGGTCCACCTCGTCCCAAAATGTCGATTCCTCGTCCTCCTCCCTCCTCCCTCCTCCCTCCTCCCTCCTCCCTCCCCCTCCCTCCCTCCCTCCCCTCCTCCTCCTCCTCCTCCTCTTCCTCCTCGTCCTCCTCCTCCCTCCTCCCTCCTCCCTCCCCCTCCCTCCCTCCCTCCCTCCCTCCCTCCCTCCCTCCCCTCCTCCCTCCCTCCTCCTCCTTCTCTTCTTCCTCCTCCTCCTCCACCACCTCCTCTGCCCTGCGCGCGCTCCCTCGTATCGAGGAGCGCGGAGAAGAGGAGGAGGAGGATGAGGAGGAGGAGGAGGAGGAGGAGGAGGAGGAGGAGGAGGAGGAGGATGAGGAGAAGGTGGATGATGATGATGATGATGAGGAGGAGACGGCAGGGAGGATTATCAGGATTCTGGTGCTGCTGTTGCTGATGAGGATGACGACGACGACGATGCCGATGACGATGACGATGACGACGATGATGATGCAGATGGTAGTGTTGATGATGATGGAATGATGATGATGACGATGCTGATGCTACTGCTGCTGACGCTAATGATGGGCATGATGATGATGATGATTGTTATGACCATGGTGGTGGTGATGATGACCATGGTGGTGGAGGTGACGACCCTGATTCGTACAACAGTGATGCTGATACTGATGAGGCGGACGACGATGGTAAGGATGATGGTGCTGATGGTGATGCTGATGCCGCTGCTGATGATGATGACAATGCTGATTACGACGATAATGCTGTTGCTGCTGACGATGATAGTGGTTACGTTGAGCGTGATGACGACTATGATGATGATGGTGAGGATGATGATGCTGATGCTGATGCTGATGAGGATGATGATTATTGGGTGACGACGCTGATTCACATGACATTGGTACTGATACGGATGCGGTGGACGACGATGGTTATGATACTGGTCACGATGGTGGTGATGATGCTGGTTGTGATGATGCTCAGGGTACTGATGATGCTGATGATGATGATGAGGCTGATGATGATGTTGATGATGCTGTTGATGATGCCGACGACGACGATGAGGATGATGACGCTGATGATGATGATGATGATGATGATGCTGCTGACGATGATGGTGATTATGATGATGATGATGATGATGATGATGATGATGATGATGATGATGATGATGATGATGATGATGATGATGATGATGATGATGAGGATGCTGATGATGATGAAGCCTCTGGTGATGGTACCGATGCTGTTACGACGATTCCGATTACGAATGATGATGGGGATGTCGATCCCGCGTCCTCCTCCTCCCTCCTTCCTACTACTCCTAAATCATCATCCATACCCCCTCTTGCTCACCCTCCTAGTGACAATCCTCCTCCTCTCGTCCTCCTCCTCCTCCTCCTCATCCCTCCTCCCCTCCTCCCTCCTCCCTCATCCCTCCCCACCTCCCTCCTACTCCCCCTCCTCCTCCTCTCCTCTTCCTCTTCTCCTTCTCCCACACTCTCTTCCCCTTCCATCCCCCACCGCCACGCTGCTCCCCGTTACCGTGTATGTGTAGTTACGTACAGTTGACGTAAGAGGCAGGAGGAGGAGGAGGGAGGAGGAGGAGGAGGAGGAGGAGGAGGAGGAGGAGGAGGAGGAGGAGGAGGAGGAGGAAGAGGAGGCGGAGGAGGAGGAGGAGGAGGAGAGGGTGGATGAGGAGGAGAAGGACGAGGAGGATGAGGAGGAGCAGGAGGAGGCGGCAGGGAGGATCATGAGGATTCTGATGCTGCTTTTGCTGATCAGGATGATGACGACGACGATGACGATGACGATGACGATGACGACGATGCTGATGCAGATGGTAGGGTTGATGATGAAGATGACGATGATGCCGATGCTGATGCTGCTGCTGCTGAAGCTAATGACTGTTATGATGATGATTGGTATGATGAGGGTGGCGATGCTGCTGCTGATGATGATGATGATGATGATGACCATGGTGGTGGAGGTGACGACCCTGATTCGTATAACAGTGAGGCTGACACTGATGAGGCGGACGATCATGGTAAGGATTATGGTGCTGATGGTGATGATGATGATGCTGATGCTGCAGATGATGATGACGATGCTGATTACGACGATGATGCTTTTGCTGCTGATGATGGTGATGATGTTTACGTTGGTCGTGATGATGCCTATGATGCTGATGATGCTGCTGCTGATGATGATGATGATGATGATGATTGGGCGACGACGCTGATTCATATGACACTGATGCTGATACGGATGCGGTGGGCGACGATGGTTATGATGCTGGTCACGATGGTGGGGATGCTGATGGCTATGATGATGATCAGGTTACTGATGATGCTGATGATGATGAGGCTGATGATGATGAGGCTGATGCTGGCGACGACGACGACGATGATGATGATGATGCTGATGATGATGCTGATGCTGATGATGATGATGCTGGTGATGGCACTGATGCTGTTAATGATGACGCTGCTTACGACGATTACGATTACGACTGATGATGAGGATGTAGATGAGGATGAGGGTGCTGCTGTTGCTGCTGCTGATGATGCTGGTGACGTTGTTGACTTTGTTGTTGTTGTTGTTGTTGTTGTTGATGGCGATGATGCTGATGATGCTGATGCTGCTGCTGCTGGTGTTGTTGTTGCGGCTGGTGATGATGAAGAAGAAGGTGATGATGCTGCTGGCAATGATGATGACGATACTGTAGTTGATGGTTATGGCGCTGGCGACGGTTCTGCTGGTTCTTCTTCTGCTGCCTCTGATGAAGACGATGCTGATTATGCTGATGCTGATGATGGTGCTGATGCTGATGATGCTGGTGATGCTGATGATTATGATTCTGATGCTGATGCTGATGCTGATGCTGATGCTGATGCTGCTTATGCTGATGCTGACGATGCTGATGCTGATGATGCTGGTGATGATGATGATGATGATGATGATGATGATGCGGATGATGATGATGATGATGATGATGATGATGATGATGATGATGATGATGATGATGATTATGATGCTGATGCTGATGCTGATGCTGATGCTGATGCTGATGCTGTTGATAATGCTGATGATACTGATGACGACGATGATGCTGCTGATGATGCTGATGCTGATGCTGTTGATGATATGATACTTCTGCTGATGATGATGATGACGATGCCAATGATGATTATGCTGATGATGACGCTGATGATGATGCTGATGATGATGCTGATGCCGATAAGGATGATGCTGCTGATGATGATGATGATGATGATGATGATGATGATGATGATGATGATGATGATGCTGGTGATGGTCATGATGCTGTTTACGACGATGCTGGTGATGGTAATGATGCTGCTGATGATGACGCTGATTACGACGATTACGATTAGGAATGATGATGGGGATGTGGATGAGGATGGGGTTGCTGCTGTTGCTGCTGCTGATGATGATAATGCTTATGACGTTGTCGACTTTGTTGGTGTTTTTGTTGATGGTGATTTTGTTGTTGTTGTTGCTGTTGGTGTTCTTGTTGTTGTTGGGGACGATGGTGCTGATGATGCTGATGCTGCTGCTGTTGTTGTTGCTGTTGGTGGTGATGCAGAAAAATATTATGAGGATGATGCTGGCAATGATGAGGACGACGCTGTTGTTGATGATTATGCCGGTGGTGATGGTTCAGACGCTTATTCTTCTGCTGCCGATGATGCTGGTGATGCTGATGCTGATGATGCTGATGATGATGCTGCTGATACTGCTGATGCTGCTGATGCTGATGATGATGATGATGATGATGATTCTGATGTTGATGCTGATGATGCTGCTGCTGATGATGATGAGGATGAGGATGCTGATGATGAGGATGATGATGATGATGATGACGATGACGATGTCCATGATGATGCTGATGCTGATGCTGATGCTGATGCTGATGGTGATGGTGATGCTGATGCTGATGGTATTGAGGACTGTGAGGATGGTAATGACGAGGGCGAGGAGAAGGAAGACGAGGAGGATGAGGAGGAGGAGGAGGACGAGGAGGAGGAGGAGGAGGAGGAGAAAGGATGTGGAGGCGGGGGGCGCGGACGGCTGCCCTCGACGCCGAGGAGACCACGCCGTTCTTCGAGCTGCCAGTCCTGGAGGCGCCGCGCCTGCGGGTTGAGAGCTGGAGGGCCTCGGGAAAGAGGGCGCCTTCCAGGGGTCGTCGTCGTCGTCGTCGCCGCCATCGCCGTCGCCGTCGCCGTCGTCGTCGTCGTCGTCGTCGGGGTCGTAATCGTTGCCGGGGTCGGGGTCGTCGTCGTCTGGAGTTCTCTGTATAACGACTAAGCCGGGCGGGGTCGTCGTCGTCGGGGGGGGAGGTGGAGGAGGGGGGGGAGGAGGAGGAGGGAGGAGGACGAAGAAGGGAGGAGGAGGTGGAGGGAGGGGAGGAGGGGGGGAAAGGAGGGGGAGGAGGCGAAGGAGGAGAGGAGGAGGAGGAGGAGGAGGAAGGCGGAGGAGGAGAGGAGGAGGGAGGAGGAGGAGGAGAGGAGGAGGATGAGGAGCGGTGACCCATGTGAGAGACAGCTTTTTTCGTGTTCCTGCCCCCCCCCCTCCTCTCCCCTTCCCTCCCTCCCTCTCCGGTTGGGCTGGGCCTCCTCGGGCCCCCCCCTCCCCGCGCCCAAAACCTCGCCCTCGCCAGCCTCTTCCCTTCCCGTGCCGAGGCGCCAGCGCGGGGCCCACTCCTTGGGGCAGGCCTCCAACGTTTTTTTTTTTTTTTTTTTTTTTTTCCCAGGCGAGAGAGGCTCCCGCCCTCCCACCCTCCGCTCCCCTACTTCCCCTCCTCCCTCCTCCCTTCTACCCCTTCTTCCCCGCTTCCCTTCGTCCCCGCCTCCGCAAGTGCTCCATGTGAGCACTGCTCTCTCCTCTCTCCCGTGACGCTGTCCAGAGTCTATTCCGCCCTCTCCGTGTATGGGATTTCACGATTCGGTCTCTCAGTTTTTTTTGGGGGTTTAGTTCCACAAGTCGGAGCTTGATCGGCGTCTCGAGATGGTGCTCCCGCTGCAGCGTTGACCTCATTTTAGGATCGGCGCTTCGCTCCCGTCGTGCAGGAGGGCGCTCTCGCCCCAGCGCGGGCCAATGTTCTGGATCCGAGCGCTTCCTCGTCGTGGTCGCCCCGCTCCTTTCCCCTCCCCCGCCTTCCCCTGGTCATCCTGCTCCGTCCGCTTCTCCCACTCCTGCCCCTGCTGCTGCTGCTGCTCCTCGTCCTCCTCCTTCCATCTCCTCTTTCTCTTCTTCCTGCGCGTCCTCCTTCGGATCCGCCACCTCCTCCACCTCCTCCTCGTCCTTCTCCTCCTCCCGCCCATCCTCCTTCTCCTCCTCCTCCTCCGTCTCCTCCTCCTCCTCCTCCTCCTCCTCCTCCGTCTCCTCCTCCTCCTCCGTCTCCTCCTCCTCCTCCTCCTCCTCCTCATCCTCATCCTCATCCTCATCCTCATCCTCATCCTCCTCCAACGTGTACGCAGTTTTAATTTTGTGACTGCGCATGACACGGTGGGTTTCCTTTTGGGGGTTCAGGTCCGCTGTGACACCCGCTGGCGGACGGAGAAGCCACGGCGCAGCTCTGGCGCGAGCGCACCTCGCTTGCCTCCCCTTCCCCTCCTCCTCCTCTCCCCCCTCCCCCCCTCCCTCCCCTCCCCCATCCTTCCCTCTCCTCCTCGTCCCCCACTCCGCCCTCGCACCTATCTCCATCCCATCCGCCCTCCTCCTCTCTCCCCCCCACCGCTATCCTCTCCCCCCCGCCCCGCCCTCCTCCCCTCCCCCTCCTCCTCCTCCTCCTCCTCCTCCTCCTCCTCCTCCTCCTCCTCCTCCTCTCGCCGCCCCTCCTCCCTCCCGCCCCACCCCCAAACCGCGCGCTGCTCCCGCCCTCCCGCTCCTGCTGCCCGCGTCCGGCTGGCCGGGCGCTCCACTTCCAGGTGAGGCGAAGCGTCCAGCGCACACCCCGGCGGCACCCGACGAGACGGCTGGTTGGCCGCCTCGTGGGCGCGCCGAGGGGCATCGCCCCAGATGGCCCCGGGAGGGCCCCAGACGCACCCCCTCTGGGCGCCAGAGGCGGGGGCACGGCAGGCGGGGGCACAGGGAACGCCGACGTCCATGTTGGGCCATGCCCCCGTTCAGGGGGCCCTGGGCGCCGTAGACGGGGGCACGGTACAGGGGGGCATGTGGCAAGGCCTGAGCCCCCGTGCAGCTAAGCCCGCGTCTGCGAAGCCCCGACTTCTCCCCCCCCAGTGCTCCGAGCGCATCTGGGATCACCAGGCCACCTCGGTTCTCTGGCGGGCTGGGCCAGGCTGGGCCAGGCTGGGCCGGGACTCTCTTGGGCGGACCTCGGCCTTCTGGACTCGATGCCAGCTGGGGCATCTGCGTCTTGGCCAGCGTGCTGATGCCGCGGTCCGACCCCGCGTGAGGAGCTTCGTCCCCTCCCCCGCAGGGCGGAGGGTCTGGGCTGGGCGGCTGGAGCCCCGCTGCAGTGCCGGCGCCCCGGGGGTGAGAGGCCGCGGTGGATGGGCTTGGGCGTAGGACGGCGTCGAGAGGCCGTGGCGGATTGGCCTGGGCGTAGCCCTCCGTCCTCCCCCTCCTCACCCCGGCGTCGCTGCAGTCGCCGCGGGCATGCACCACCTCACGAGGGACCTCGGCGCGCCCACGGCGTGCGAGGCGCAGCGCAGCGCCGCTGCACTGCCGCCCGCCGCGCCCTGAGGTCCTCGCCCGGCCTCGCGGGCGGGGTGCGGCCGCTGCCGCGGCCGAGATCCCGGGTCGGGGCCCTCGTCGGCCTCGTCCGCTCCTCGCCCCCGCGTCGCTCGCGCCTGCGTGGGCCCGCCCGCGCTCCCCGCCCCCCCCCCCCCGGGCCCGCTCGGCCCGGAGCCGCCGGGGCGGCCCCGGCGTGGGGCCCGCGGGTCTGGCCAGCCCGCGGGGAGCCGCACGCAGCGCGCGGCTCCCCCCTTCTCGCCTCTCGGGCAGCGGGGTGCGGGGCGTGCCTCGGGGGAGGAAGAGGTGTCGACGCCGCTGCCCTTCAGCCGCCGCTACGGCTGGATTCGCCTGGAAATGCTGGCCAGAAGTCGCCCCAGGCGAGGTCCGTGGAGCAGCGATGTAGGTGCCTTCTTGTTCTCCCAGTGCCCGCAGTCGCCCCATGGGCCGTGGGGCGATGGCAGTTCTTGGGTACAGCCCTCACGACCGATCGGGACATCAAAGCTTCAGAAACAGTGCGCTTGGACGGTCCATGGTGGTGGGCGTCTTTTTATTCATTGTTTTGCCGATCGGCGCGGGCCCTCGC